ATCTGACCACAGTATGGAGTCTGGTTTGATGTCCAGAAAGAGGAATCACTAGCATATTTATAAACTGTCTTGGATGTGTCTGCATTTTAGTATCTTCAAAATTAAAATGTAAATTTAGAAACGTCAAGACCTGGATATGAGGGAAGAAATTTATGAAAATGGTTCAATGCAGATAGTTTTGTAGCTTTTTTAAATAAAATGCTTATTTCATATACATAAAAAAAAAAAAAATGGACTCAAGACCTTCTTTCTCTCTCCCTCTCTTTAAAAATCTGGTGTATTTAGCTCCTTGGTGAATTGGAAAAAGACCCCAAACTTGTCTACCATATTGGCCTCACTCCAGCCAAACTTCCTGACCTTGTGGAAAACAACCCTTTAGTCGCTATAGAAATGTTGCTGAAATTAATGCAGTCAAGCCAGATCACTGAGTATTTCTCCGTCCTGGTCAATATGGACATGTCTTTACATTCAATGGAAGTTGTAAATCGGTAAGTTTCTAGATTTGATCAAATATGTGGGGATAGATACAGATTAGATGGCCAGGAAAGAAAACTAACAGATTTTTGTCGTGATATTATTGGCGTAAGATTTACCCATTAAAGAAATAATCTGAGCCTTAGCATTCACTACATATCAATTTAGCATGTGTTAGTAAGAATTGAGGGTCGGATTTCAAACATATTTAGTGTTAGAAGTGTACATGAAAATTGCTGAAATTTATTTTTTTGAGAGGGAATCTTGCGCTGTCGCCAAGGTTAGAGTGCAGTGATGATCTTGGCTCACTGCAACCTCCGACCCCTAGGTTCAAGCAGTTCTCCTGCCTCGGCCTCACCAGTAGCTGGCATTACAAGTGTGTGCTGCCACACTTGGCTAATTTTGTATTTTTAGTAGAGATGAGGTTTCACCATATTGGTCAGGCTGGTCTCGAGCTCCTAACCTCAAGTGATCCGCTGGCCTCAGCCTCCCAAAATGCAGAGATATTACAGATGTGAGCCACCATGCCAGCCAATTGCTGAAATTTATTTCCCTATACATAGTCCTATCTTCATTATCCCTATACAAATATATTTTTTCTTAGTGACTAACAGCTGTTAAGTGTAGAAAAATATGGGCCTAAAGAGTTGAGAATCCTAGGAATGCTGTCCTAGCTTTCTAGTGCTTTCCTCAGCCTTTCTGACCCCTGGTCTCCTGAGCCTGCCATCCTTGACTATCAGGAAAGCAGGACATCTTCCCTTCTTGATGTGTTCTGTACAGTGTTTGCATTTTATAGTATTTCCCTTACAAATATCTTTTAGGTAAATTGTGGATTAGGCGGGCTGGAGGGTTAAGGTGTTTATGTGCAGGGGTGGCCAGAAGTCCAGGTATGCCTGAGAGTCCTAGTGGAGGCCTTGCATTCTGAGCTCCTTTTCACATGGTGTCCTGTTTTGGATGATAAATTATATGGTCTTCCTATATGAGGAAATCCATTCTGAGTGCTAGCCAACTAAACTTCAGTGAGAGCACAGTTTCTGAACACTTGTTTGTAAGTTGGAGATTTTTGAAAAATCCATGTGAAATTGACCTACAGGAAGTGTCCTTTTTTCATCAATTATTGGGGGTTGGGGGAAAGCCCAGCTGGAAGCCTAGGGAGTGCAAGCATGTGCATAGGAGGAGAGAGGGTTCTATTAGGGTTAGGAGAGGGAGGAAGTGTGAGGTTTCCAAATTGATTTTAACTTTAACCTTGGTCACTGGCAAAACTGGCTAGCTGCTTGTTGAAAATATGCTGCTGCATTTCTATCCCTCCTTGTTCTAGTCTTTCCCCTACTGAGTGAAGACTCACTCTTCTTTCAGTAACCCAGTTCTGTGCAAGTCCTTTGGATTGACCACGCTGAGTGTTCACTTCCCCTTCACCATATTCTTGTAGCAGTTCTTGTCTCTACAGACATTTGGCCCTGAGTCCAACATGTAGAATAACTACATACTTTTATCAATGTGATTCTGTCTGCTCAGTATCTAGGAATTCAAGGACAAAGTCCTGCGTGTTTTTCCCCAACACCTATCATAGTGCGTCATCCTGAAGCATGAAACGTTTGTTGGCAACACACAGATCTCAAGTGACTGCAGCAGCTCATGGCGGTGTCCTTGGACCACTCACTCCTCATGCCTTATTGAAAATAGTTTTGAGGTCTGATAAGTTTAGAAAAGGCAGCATAATCTTTTGGAAATTCATACTTTGAGCATGGAATTCCTGTTCCCACCCCACTCATTTCTCTTTCTTTAAAACATTCCATGTAATCCTTTGGAAAATACTGGCTTTAGCCTTTACTATGACTTGAAACTCCAATTCTGGGTCACCACTATGCCTTTGTTTCTCTCCCACTGCTCCTGAATATGCCATGCTGATGCCAGATTCCACATCTTTATGCAGAAGGCTTCTTTTCTCAGGTTTAAGTGACTTGCCCTTTTAAGGCTTTTCCCAGATCATCTCATGTTAGCATTTGGTTATATATTGTACTGTTTACATAGCAAACATACGCTTTCCTCTCAGACATACTGCCCTCTCATAGCACTTATCTGTAACATCTTGTAGCTTGGCAGATAACACATCCTGACCCTGACTTACGATTTAACTAAGAATACTCAGGGGCAGGGTTCAAAAAAATAATTGCGGTATGTAATGGTAAGTAGAGACATTTAAAAAAGTGTTATTTATGAATAAGTAGGTATGGCTCTTAGGTTTACTTGCCCAAGTGTATTTAAAATTAGGGAATTGGATATGTCAGATAATTCTACCACTTGACCAAAGCAAATTTTGTTTATGGTTAAGTATTTTTCAATGTTAGCAAATTAAATTAATGGCCCAAATTTTCTTTTATGAAACAGACTAACTACAGCTGTTGATCTACCTCCTGAGTTTATTCACCTTTATATATCAAATTGCATCTCTACTTGTGAACAAATTAAGGATAAATATATGCAGGTAATAGAAATTTTTGTAAATTTTATAAATACCTGCCAGGTAAATGAGAACACTAACTTTTTTTTTTTTTTTCGTTTTTCAGAATCGTTTGGTGCGTCTTGTGTGTGTGTTTCTCCAATCCTTGATCCGTAACAAAATTATTAATGTACAGGATTTGTTTATAGAAGTGCAGGCATTCTGTATTGAATTCAGTAGGATACGAGAAGCTGCTGGTCTTTTCCGGTTATTGAAGACACTGGATACCGGGGAAACACCTTCTGAGACCAAAATGTCAAAATAATACCTCATCAGAACCATCCCATTCATTCACTGTTCAGCTGTACTGTGATTTAGTTTTTACACCGTTAAAACCCTGAGTGGATTGCTTGGTCTAATGCATAGAAACAATACTTTATCTACTTAAAGTTTTGCTTTCTTGGATGACTTTTTCTGGGAAATGAATTTTTGATAAGAACTGGAGAAAACGTGGCTTTTAGGTTCTTGCTGATAACAATCCATGGGAGGAATATCTATCCCAAAAAAAGTTGCTGCAAAAAAGTAGTTTTTTTTTTTTTAAGCACTAAAGAACAAAATGCATTTTTCCTTAATACAGGCTTCTGATGAACCAGGAATCCAGTTTTCGTAAAGTTCCAATGTTGAAAATACTTGAGAGTAAATTCTTAAGCATTTGTGATACTGTCCTTGAGGTGAAAGCAGCTGAATGTTCCTGAACCATCAAGAGGCAAACAGGAGTTTGGTTCTTGAACCTGCTTATGGACACAGCTCTTAACTCCTCATGAGGCAGAGTATGAACAAAGGATTTACTTACAACTTTCTCCTTGTTGTGGAGGCTTAATACACAACAGAATAAATGCATTTCTTGGGCCTTTTATAAACTTAGGAGCTCTTAGAAAGCTGCTTCTGTTAACAGGCTGTAATAGCTGGTATGGTCTTTTTTTTCTCTCTTAGGATGTTCGTAGTCTGAGATGGCCATTTTTTTTGTTTTGTTTTGTTTCGTTTTGTTTTAAGGAAAAACATCAGTCAGTGCTCTGGGAGGTAATTTCCTGTGGGGTCTGCATCCTCCTGTCTGGGTGGTAGATGTGGGTTTGAGAAGTAGGGCCGGGAGATACCGTGTGGGGTCTTACCCTTTACATAATTTTGGACAACAGTGCCTTCCATTAAAGTTCTTTTTATCAACTCTGTTATCTGATATATTTTTTTACTTTAAGAAATCATGAGAAATTCCTTTTCCTGAGGCACTTCCAAAGCATATTTACAGGGAGATAATCTGTTCAACAGGAATTACTAACACTTTGAAACAGTTAAAGGAAACCAAACCTAGTGATTTTAAGATGTAAAAGCTCTAATCTTAAAACACTAAAGAAAGAGCAGTACTAAAGATTTGTAACAAATTCGTAGTTTTTCTTAGAAATAGTTAAGAATGTTTGCTTAGAGAAAATAAGCCCATCTATCAGAAGAATGCCTTCAGACAAAATGATGGCAACAAATCATTTCTTTCTATGCTTTAAAGCACGTATCCACGTTTTATACGTTACCATTGGGGAAAAATAGCTTATTGAAGTACTTTGAGTGGCAGTTTCAACAACCCAGCCTTAGGTTCCAAGACCTCTTGTTTCTCTGGCATTATAAAACATTGAACTAACAGCCAACAGCACCATCACTCATGCCTGAATGAAGCTGATGTAAGAACCAGGCACTTAGTCCATGAGGCATATCACAGCCTTGTTGCCCTTAAAACAACAGGCAAAACTTTGCTACACCTGGGGGCCATTTTAAATAGTGAAATCGCCAACAAAAGGTGCAAAAATGCAAAGAATTCGGTACTTAAGAGATTAGGAAAGGACACTTGTAGTAGGAGAGGAAACAAGGCAGAGCATCCCCTCTTTCATCCTTGGTAAGGAATGTGCTTGTCAGGCAACTTGGCTCATTCGCTGCTCTGGGCATGTCTGAAAATGACTGCAGGTGATTATTTTGTTTGGAGTTACAAATTTTAGTGAGCACGCAAGTTTTCAAATATGGACTTAATAAGTGACGATCAAAATCACAATACTGGTGTTTACTTGAAAGACTTTAAATAGCTTACAAAGAATAGTGGTTATATTTATAGAACATTTTATAAAACAGTTGAGATTTACACTTTTAACACCAACAAAAGCTTCTTCAAAATAAGTTTACCTAAAGGAAAAAAAATTGGTGGCTGGGTTTAGTGAATCACACCTGTAATCCCAGCACTTTGGGAGGCCAAGGTGGGAGGATCACTTGAGTTCAAGACCAGCCTGCAGGATATAGTGAGACTTCGTTTATATTGAAAACAAAACAAAAAACGGTGTGGCATGCACCTGTAATCCCACCTACTCTGGAGGCTGAGGTGGGAGGATTTCTTAAGCCTGGGAGATGGAGGCTGAAGTGAGTTACAATGGCACCACTGCCCTTAAAAAAAAAAAAAAAAAAAAAAAAAATTGAGATTCAATAACTGCAGTAAACTTTTTTTTTTTTTTAAGACGGAGTTTTGCTCTTGTTACCCAGGCTGGAGTGCAATGGTGCAATCTCCGCTCACCGCAACCTCCGCCTCCTGGGTTCAATTCTCCTGCCTCAGCCTCCCAAGTAGCTGGAACTACAGGCATGTGCCACCATGCCCAGCTAATTTTTAGTAGAGACGGGGTTTCACCTTGTTGATCAGGATGGTCTTGATCTCTTGACCTCGTGATCCACCCGCCTCGCCCTCCCAAAGTGCTGGGATTATAGGCGTGAGCCACCGCACCTGCAATAAACTTTTAAGTGTAATCAAATGCATTCAACCCTCACGTTAAGACACCTTGAATTCTTGGGATTTTCTAGTTCCAATTTCTAGCTTCAAAATCTTCAAATCACCTGTTAAAAAGAAGACAGCAATAAGTAACAGGGTAGAACGCAGTTATTTCAAATATAGTTTGGGATTCTAAAATGTAACTATTACAAATAATTAAGTGTTTCTTCATTTAGAAAGCTTTAAAGAAATACCAGTTTTTAGTCTTCTAATGTACGTATACATTTACACCTAAGTTTAAGCAGCACACTAAATTATTCACATTTTCTTGATGATGGTCACATGTCTCTTTTAAACAGTATTTTGAATGATATTCCTTAAACAGTTTAAGGGTATCTGGAAAATTAATGCATAGGAAGAACTCTTTACACATTTGTTAAAATTCCAGCACCCTCTGTCTACTAAGATATTTTACTGCTTTCACTGTACATCTTGTTTGTTGTTTTTATGCAATCGCTACTGTTCTTATCAGAAAAATCCAAGAGTACCTGTATAATGCTGGATCTGGTATCTGCAGTCAGTCCACACAAAATCTTGGTGTTCCCAGACTTCTCACTAGCCCATAATACAACCCTACAACTCAGCAAAAAAATGCATGGGTTGGCTTTTTTTCCTAATATTTAAATGAATGTAGTGCAAACACTTTTCTTCACAACTTCGCTGTAGAAAGAGGGCAAGTCTCCAGCTGCATGGCAGATTATGACACCATAGAAATTTCACTTTTATAACTAGTAATCCAAATGTTAGTATTTTTGAAAATATGGTGACAAGTGTTCGTGTTTTTTTTTTTTTTTTTTTTTGAGACGGAGTCTCAGTCTATCACCAAGCTGGAGTGCAGTGGTGTGATCCTGGCTCACTGCAACTTCCATTTTCCAGTTTCAAGCAATTCTCCTGTCTCAGCCTCCCGAGTAGCTGGGACTACAGGCATGCATCACCACATCTGGCTAGTGTGTGTGTGTGTGTGTGTGTGTGTGTGTGTGTGTGTTTTGAGACAGTTTTGCTCATTACCCAGGCTGGAGTGCAATGGAGTGATCTGAGCTCACTGCAACCTCCACCTCCTGGGTTCAAGCAATTCTCCTGCCTCAGCCTCCTGAGTAGCTGGGAATACAGGCGTGTGCCACCATGCCCAGCTAATTTTTGTATTTTTAGTAGAGACGGGGTTTCACCTTGTTGACCAGGATGGTCTCGATCTCTTGACCTTGTGATCCACCCACCTCAGCCTCCCAAAGTGCTGGGATTACAGGCGTGAGCCACCGCACCCGGCCTTTTTTGTGTGTTTTTTATAGAGACAGGGTCTCACACCATGCTGGCCAGGATGGTCTCGATCTCTTGACCTTGTGATCCCCCTGCCTCAGCCTCCCAAAGTGCTGGGATTACAGGCGTGAGCCACCGCACCCGGCCTTTTTTGTGTGTTTTTTATAGAGACAGGGTCTCACACCATGCTGGCCAGGATGGTCTCGATCTCTTGACCGCGTGATCCACCTGCCTCAGCCTCCCGAAGTGCTCGGATTACAGGCATGAGCACCGCGCCCGGCCAGCAAGTGTTTTTAAAAAAAACTTTTAAAACTAAATTAGCTGGGAATGTCGTAGGTGGCTTTTCTAATTGACTACTGAGTCACAGAATCATAACATATATTAACTACAAAACTAGTTTTGGTTTGAGTCAACATCCTGTGCTTTAGTAAATCACAAAGTAGGATTTATACCAAGCCCACAGAAACTGCTTTTGACTAAAACATATAATTACCTCAAGTTCTAGTCAGTAATACATATATACTGACTTATAATTTCAGCCTTCATTGAGCAAATAAACTTTAACATGTTCAAAGGAAGAGACTATTGCCAAATTAAGCTATCTTACTGGGGAATTTGGATACATTGGGTATTTCATCCTCACTATATGGGGACAATCACCTGTTCTGAAGGTCTATTATGATTTTTAAATCGCGCAGTTCTCTTTGGGATGCCTTTCTTGACCACTCCCATGGCACAAAGCTTCCAGTCCTGTTACTGAGGTCAGACTATTGGTTCGCTTCAGGATATTTTGTCATTGTGTGCCCAAAGAGAGAGCAAACTGCTGATAGAGACACTGCAATTCGGCCTTTTCTTGTCATCATTCCTCAGTAGCTGGAGGCAGCAGTCTTTTGGGAAAGCCTGTGTGTTCAAGATCCCTAAAAAGACAGCATGTGGGGAAATTATTACCTGCCGAGTAGTGTGTTTTTAGACCTCTCTGGCCCTTTGGTTTTCTGCTGGGAAACCCAGAATGCCAGACCAGACACCGACAAGTGGAAAAAGCAGGACAGCCGGCAGGGGGCCGCAGAGAGTGGCACAGTCACGGACACCGTCTCCTTTGCCACGCCACCCGTGGTTTCCACAGTGAAATACTGGTCTATGGTACATGTGAACACGTGGCTCTTACGACAACTGTTAGGAGGAAAGTGATTCGTGTGGTAAGTAAAATAACTAAATGAAATCTGATTTACCATACTCTACATTCCCCCAATTCTCTGCATCTTATCAACTTAAAAGTTTTAGTAGAAACTCTCATAATAGTTGGCCCTTCCTTTTTTCTTATTTTTTTTTTTTCTGACAGGGTCTCACTCTTGCCCAGGCTGGAGTACAGCGGTGTGATCACAGCTCACTGCAGCCTCGACCTCTTGGGCTCAAGTGATCCTCCCACCTCAGCTTCCCAAGTAGCTGTGACTAAAGGCGGGTGCCACCATGTCCAGCTAAATTTTTAAACTTTTAGTAGCGATGGAGTTTTGCCGTGTTGTTCGGGCTCGTCTTGAATTCCTGGGCTCAAGGGATTCTTCCATCTTGGCCTCCCACTGTTGGTGTTAAAAGCATGTACCACCACATCCGGCCTGTCACTTCTTTATCATGTTAATTTCCATCTAAGAAAACTTCTATCACAAAAACTATTTCCTTCCAAAGTTCTGAAGAGTTTTCTTCTCTTGCTAATTTCTTTTTTGCTACTAAAGACTTGTTTCTAGAGATATGAATGTAATTATTCCAACCACTTCAATTTATAATTTAGTGTTCAAGCTTTTAAATTAAGGAACACTGTTTGACAGCTGCTGATTACGAAATCACACTTCTGTAATTATCAAAAACAATTTACCTTGGTCTGTCACAGTATTTTTTTTTTAAGATAAACACAAGTCAAATTAATTATAGTTGTTCACAATCAGCAATGTGATGATCTCGCTGATTGCTGATCTTGCCATTCCTGGACCTAAAGCGCTCCATGGCCTCCACAATATTCATGCCATCTTTCACCTTGCCAAAGACCACATGCTTGCCATCCAACCACTCAAGTCTCAGAGTCTTGGCAGTACAGATAAAAAACTGGGAAGTGTTCATGCTAGGTCCAGCATTTGCCATGGACAAGAAGCCAGGACCTGTATGCTTAGGATGAAGTTCCTGTCATCAAATTTCTCCCTGCAGATGGACTCGCCGCCAATGCTGTTATGGCATATGAAGTCACCACTCTGACAGAGAAACCCTGAAATAATTCTGTGAAAGCAGGAACCCTTATAACCAAATCCTTTTTCCCCAATGCTCAGAGCACAGAGGTTTTCTGCTGTCTTTGGAACCTTGTCTACAGACAGCTCCAATCTGTTAACATAGTTTCATGGATTAGATGAGCAATCACTTCTTGGTTTCCAAGCCCCTTACCTTGAAGGACACACAGCCCAAGTGCTCACTGGCAATGTTGAAGAATATGGTGGGGTTGACCATGGCTGGAAGTAGGGGGCTCCAGGCAGCACAGCAGCAGCATCTGCAAAGCTCACAGCCTTCTTTTTAAAAGTCAGCTTCATTAGCCACTGGGAAGAATAACTAGTTGAAACATTTTCCCCTAGTTTTTCTTAAAAGACAAAGAGCAAACAATTTACTTGCTACAGAATCAGGATATTTTCCTATTTATGTTAAACTACAGAAGATAGATTTCAAAGGTAATGGCTGTTATAGAAACCTACTTGAGGCTGTCTGCTAAAACAAACTTTTTTGTGCAAAGCAAAATAAATTTTCTACTTTACTAGCTCCTCATACTGCATCTATCTATAGAGTTTATTTCATTAAAACTGTTTACTTACTATTTCACGATGGGTAGCTAGAATCAAAGCATTAAGTAGCTTGAGAAAATAATCTATATAAATCCTTATATCCTACATATGGCTATAAGAATAAATTTACAATTTTAAAACTTTTTTCAATAAACGTTTTTACCTACAATGTAAAGATACACAGAACAACAAAAGACAATTCCACATTCTAAAAAGTATCTGCCTCATACGCCTTGACTTCTACCTCCAAGAAGTGAGAAAACAGCAGGGTGTGTGTGTTTAATCACTTTCTAATACTTAGCACTTTCCAAAAGTTTTGCATTAGCCTTCTCCCTTGACCCAGAAGAACAGCAAACAAGTAAAAAAGAAGAAATCGTTAAGGAAGGTCATGGTATGAAATGTGCTTAAACACGAATCAAGAAAACTGGTTATTTCTTGTCGACACAAAATTAAAATTCTACATCTATCACCCTTTTAATTTTAAAGATTAAATTGTAACTCAAATAAATATAACAGATTTTCAGTCTGCCTACTCCTTTTCCTTAACAAGGCAATGAAGAATGTAATGCTCACGTGCAATATAGAATCTTAGCTTTTTATTTGTAGGAAAAAATAAAGATTTCCCTCCCCATCAAGGCGTCACAAGAAGTGAGACAATAAAGGGAAAAATGCAAATCCTCAAGTCATCTAGTGCTTTTCTCATAATTCTAAATAACAAAGAAAAAGTGCTCTCAGGTTTTGAAATCTTCACATACAATACAGTGGGCAAGAAAGCTGCAGATATCTCTGTTACAAGTTTCAAGTTCTTGGAAAAAAAAAACTTTCCTCCAGGGAAAGCCCATGTGATCAATTATTGAATTGAATTATACAATTCCACTTCAACTAGTCTAAAATTGATGTGCTTAGCCAAAAAATATAATTAAACTTTTTATACAGTACCACAGCAGCCAGTCTATTATTTAGAAACATCATCTGTCCTTTACATTAGAGTACCTGCCCAGTTGGCTTTGTAATAGTCTGAAACAACACACTGTTCATAAACACTATATTTTAGTAGATAAATATATGAAGACTGATCAAAGTCTCTTTAAGAATAAAATATCTTAGCCCTTTGTATATTAAATCAGAACCTAATAGGTAAAATAATGTACATTATTTTCAAATATACAAATTATGTGCTAAAGTAAAAAAAATAAAATGTCCTTTAGTTCAAGCCAAACTTCTGTTGGTGCTACTTCAGTGGGTACGCACGCTAGGAGACAGGTCCTCCATGCCGAGAGTCACTCCTGCCGGCTTCTGCAAGAGAGCAACACAAGCTACTCCATCAGAAGAGGGCAGCATATTCCGAGCTTCAGTTACACAAACACAGTTACTCACTTGGAGATAATTCAATATGGTAAACAGAACATTTTAATTAAATAAAACACATATGCAAAACTGACAATCCATTCCACTGACAGCCAACAAGAAAAAGCAGTAAACATCTTCCACATATAAGGGTTTTTCTAGCATTAGCCTAGCCAACATTAATCTCATCAGCAGATCAGCTTTTAAAGACAGAGATGGTGGCACCAGATGTTCCCAAAAGTTGGAACAAGTAGCTAAGGTGATGGTGATACTGCCGCCAATAAAAACAATAGCCAGTATTTACCAGGCACTATATATTATCCCTGAGAGGTAGAGATTAACGTGTTACCACCCCTGGTTTATAAATGGCAAGGAAGAGGAGGATCCGGTACTGAAATCCAGATAGTCGGTATTACTAGGTACACAAAAGGCTCTTAGAATATGTCCTTAAAGATAGCAGCAGAACCCACTACTTTTTAATTTGCCAATTTAAAGTTTCTTTTTTTTTTTTTTTCTTTTTTGAGACAGGGTCTCACTCTGTCATCCAGAGTGATAGTGAAAGGCTGGAATGCAGTAACATGATCATGACCACAGCTCACTTGCATTCTCGTTCTCCTGGTTCAAGTGATCCTCCCACCTCAGCTTCCCAGATAGCTGGGACTACAGGCACATGCCACCATGCCCAGCTAATATTTTGGGTTTCTGACTGTTCGCCAGGCTGGTCTCATGTGATGCAATCTGCTCACCAACACTCCACCTCCAAAAGTGCTAGAATTACAAGTGTGAGCCACCATGTCCAGCCTAAAGTTTCTGTTAAATGGTGAAATAACATAAGTAATCTCATAAAACACTTCCTCTTGTTTTATAAATATAAGTAAATGTTTATAAATATAAAATTTGTATTTACTGTTTAAATTGATAAATAAAAACTATATGTTTATGGTGTACAACATGATGTTCTGAAACATGTATATATTGTGGAATGGCTAAATCACACTAATTAATGTGATTACCCGACATACTTGTAGTGAGAACACTTAAAGTCTACTCTTTTGGCATCTTTCAATATTATACATTATTATGAACTGCAATCACCATGCTGTGCAAAAGAGCTCTTGAACTTACTCCTAACTGAAACTTTGTACCTTTTGACCACTCTCTCTCCAATCCCCGCCAACACCCATCCAAATATTTTGCACTCTCCTTCAAGGAGGTGAAGTAGGTGGAGAGTGAAGTAACTGGGCAGTGGAAGGTGCACTCCGCAGGGAAACACCTTCTCCAGGGTCTACCATTAGTAATTTCCACACTCATTTCCTAGTTGCTCCCGAGAGTCTAGTAAATGTTTTCTCAATTAAAAATGAAACTACATTTTTTTCTGGAAGTATTAATGCCTGATTTTTTCTAATTTAATGTTTTTCAATTTATATTATTACTGAAAAAAGGCTGAAAGAACATTAACAGATAAAGTTAATGTACTGAAGCATACTACGTGGGAATTAAAAAAAAAGACAAAGAGAAAAATAGAATGTGAGCCCCACATGGGTTGGGATGAGGACGTAGGGGAATCTGGCTGCTTCAGAATGTATTTGACATTCTGCTGCTTTGTAAACCTAGCTGCTTCTTCTACCTTCATTTCTACCCATGATTTCAAATCAAATTATACTATCTTAGTTCTAAGAGGGCATTTCAGGATAGAAAATGGTCAACTGTAATACGCTACAAGTTAATAAGGTAGCAAAAATGCAGAAAAATCTGGAGGCTGCTTTTGAAGGACATTTAGCAGAATAAGAGTCTTAGTATTTAAAGGGTGCTCCTGTACTAGAGAAGGCAAAGTTAGTTTTCTTTCTGAAGTTGGAAGGCAATGGGAAAAATCACAGTGGTATGCACTCTGGCTCTACATAAAGAGATTCTTAAAATAAGAGCCATTTACCAACAGAACATGCTTAGCTGGAGAGCTGGTAAGGAGAATGCCTACACAGATCAATTGCTACAATTTTATAATTCTCTAAAATCTATTCTCCTTTTCTTTTCCACAGTGCATTCTTTTACTGGTTAATACTTACATTCTAATATTTCTACCTATTTTTGCCTTACAGATCCTAAATGTGCTACAAAGAAAAAGACTTAGTTTGAATCCTACTGCTTTGGAAAAATATGCTTCCTCTTCCAGGATGACAAAATCTAAAATCTGAAGCATCAATTCGTCCCACTTAAAATAAACCTTAAGTGAATCCAATTCTAATAAAAATTCTGACGAGATTTTCTTTTACTTGGTAAAATGATTTTAGAGTTAAGCTTTAAAAAATGTAGAACAGGCCAGGTGTGGTGGCTCACACCTGTAATTCCATCATGTTGGGAGGCTGAGGAGGGCAGATCACCTGAGGCCAGGAGTTTAAGACCCAGCCTGACCAATACAGTGAAATCCCTGGCTCTACTAAAAATACAAAAAATTAGCCAGGCATGGTGATGTGTGCCTGTAATCCCAGCTATTTGGGAAGCTAAAGCAGGTGAATCACTTGAACCCAGGAGGCGGAGGCTGCAGTGAGCTAAGATCGTGACACTACACTCCAGACTGGCCGACAGAGCAAGACTCCATTTCTAACAATAATAATGATGTAATAATAATAATAATGGTGATGATGTAGAATAGCCCAGAAATTTTTTTTTTTTTTTTTTTTTTTTTGAGACGGAGTTTCATTCTTGTTACCCAGGCTGGAGTGCAATGGCGTGATATCGGCTCACCACAACCTCCGCCTCGTAGGTTCAGGCAATTCTCCTGCCTCAGCCTCCTGAGGAGCTGGGATTACAGGCACGCGCCACCGTGTCCAGCTAATTTTTTGTATTTTTAGTGGAGACAGGGTTTCACCATGTTGACCAGGATGGTCTCGATCTCTTGACCTTGTATTCCACCCGCCTCGGCCTCCCAAAGTGCTGGGATTACAGGCTTGAGCCACCACACCCGGCCATATCAAAACATATTATTTGCAATTATTCACTAAACAATATTAGGACAAATGATTAAACACTTAGGTTTAATAAGTGGAATAAAAAGAAAAAAACAGATTAGTTAAATCTCCCCTCACACCTTAAACTATGTATATTAAGCCTTAAATGTAAAATACAAAACCACAAATATGAGCAAAGTACAGGTCAGTATCTTTATAATTCTGAGATAAGAAAGACCTTCCTAAGTCAGCATGCAATCAAAGGCAGAATCATGAGAGAATGGGAAACTAAACTACACAATTTCTATCTGGGAAATACAGTGAAAAGTCAAACAACACAGAAATGGGGGGAGAAATACACAAAATACATGACAGACCTTAGTATTTTCAGTGTATAAAAAACTCTTTAAGGATCAATATGAAAAATTACTATCTCCATAAAAAAGTAAGCTAGGGATAAAATAAGCAATTAATCAAAGAACAAAGATGACCAACAATGTGAAAAGAGGGTAACCTCATCAGTAATAAAAAAAAAAAATGCAATTAGTCTAGACAACATGGTGAGACTTCATTTCTACAAAAAAATTTGAAAAGCTAGCTGGGAACAGGCACAGTGGCTCATGCCTGTAATCCCAGCACTTTGGGAGGCTTAGGTGACAGATCACGAGGTCAAGAGATCGAAACCATCCTGGCCAACATGGTGAAACCCCATCTCTACTAAAAATACAAAAATTAGCTGGGTGTAGTGGCACGCACCAATGGTACCAGCTTCTTGAGAAGCTTGAGGCGGAAGAATCAGTTGAACCTGGGAGGCGAGGTTGCAGTGAGCCGAGATTGTGCCACTGCCCTCCAGCCTGG